AGTGTTCTTTGCTCGCGTTTGTGCCGATATACAGTGAAATTATACTAAAATCGGGCCTATTTTTAAACAGTTATAGCTCCTTAGGATGAAAGGTGACCCCCCCCCCCATTTTATTACATATTCTGAAAGCACATAAGTTGTAAATATGATTTTATAGATCATAATGGCTGATCGGACATTGTGACGTCATCATATTGCCATCTGAATTCAAAGAAAGTGAATTTTAATAGGTATGACGTCATTTTTTAAAATACGCATTTGTCGAAGCATTAAGTCATGCATTTGATATTGTATTTAGTAGTTGAAAGTTTAATATTATTTCTCTTGTTGTTTGCTACTGCTATTTTTTTGGGTCTATTGGAGAGTACAGTGATTCCAATTGGGTCATTTAGTCCATCATCTTTTCTGTCTAATCTTTTCTTAAATATACTGTTTTTATCAAATAATTGTAGTTTATGCATACTTGATACTATTATATCTTCATTCATATCTGTGATTACACATTTAGGTTTTATAACTTTACCATCTTCTTTACCACAGGATATTAGAATTTTCATGAACTTTCCATTTGCATCAAACATTTGAATTCTGTTATTAATGCAGTCAGCAACAATCACATTACCCTCTCTAGTTAAAGTGACATCATATGGATCTTTCATTTGACCTACTTCACTGCCTTCTGAGCTAATTGTATTTGGCTTTTCACAATTATCAATTTTGAATTTAAATACGCAGTGAGCCATCATATCATAATCTGCTACATACAGGACTCTAGTCTTCTTGTTTATTGTTAAGCCAAATGGAAATTTCAATATTTCTTTACCAAACAAGCTGATTTGTTGAAATTCCTTATTACACATCACAACGCATTTTCCTTTGGAATCACTGTACAGCAAGCAGCCGTCACCCAATTGATGCATTCTGCAGACCTGTACATCTTGTGGCACGTCTTCTACCAATAAATGTGCCTGATTGATTCAACTGCAATATGCTATTACTGAAGTTAGACACTAACATACACCTATCTGTATCTAACACTACATCTACTAGATTACTTGTTTTTGTGTCTGGTACATTATCAATGGTATGAAAGTCCCAGTGTTTCCACCTTAACATATACTGGTGACCCTTTGATCTGGCCAGCATTAGAAATGATATCCATTTGCCAATGCCCTTCAACATTGCAGCTACTTATTATTTCATACTCTCTATTTCCCTGAAATCGCACTTCTGTAGCTGATTCTTCACCTGATGAGTCTTTTAGAGTGGCTGCTAATTGACATACATCACTTTCTGCTAGACTTGATACTTTCAGTAAAAATGTTTCCCTTTTTGTGACAGTAATTGCTTCATCACCTTCAGCAATATTGTACATAGTATCAACAGTTGTAATTTTACCAAAGTCATATTAGTAATGTTTCCAAGTGTGTAAAATGAGTGAAACATGGTGTAGGCCTGTTATTTTTTGTATAAAATGATTCATTGAAATCAGTTCCTCCGACCTTTTCTCTAATAGTGTTAGTAGTTGATCTAAGTAATTCCAGAAGGTCTGCGTTTTCTGGTTTATTCATTAATTCATTGACTGCGTCCATCATATAATTTACTTGATCTAGTATTAATTGAATGTGTTGTAATATACTATCAATGTCTTTTTTATTTTCTTTGTATATCTCTTTAAGTATGGAGATTAATTCTTTGCTTTTTTCTTGGACTTTATTGACAAGTGTGTTCTCCTTAACTTCAATACTTCTTCTGCCTAATTTTAGATGAGATTCAAATTCAGTTTCAACATTAGTAATGCATTTAATTGATTTTTCTAATATGCTTTTAATTTCTTGAACTCTTCTTCATTTTGGTTAAACTGATCTACAGCAATTTGTTCAATCACATCGTGTTTATTTTGATAACCATGAAGAACATGTTCACAATATTTACATGCTGATTGTTTGCAAGTTTTGCAGTAAAATTCCAATATGTGCGTTGTTGGAATGAGTTAACATTTGTAGTGTTCATCTTTGCTTCCTTTTTCTTTTTTATTTAATGCATACAATTGGTGGTCTTTTAATGAATAATCTGTGCTGTTCAATGCAATTTCTACAGAAGTAGAGCAAACATTCAAGGCAGTTATATTTCGGTGGATTGTCACAGCTTGAGCATGTACTTGGTTTTTCAAATTTAATCTTTTCCACATATTCACGCAAATAAATTTTATTTGAAGTGAGTTTTTTCAAATCGTCTTTTTTTAGTTTATGATGCTGACTACATCTGTGACACCTCAATTTGTAATCTGTTTGTATTAAACATTGCAAGCAGCGAAAACAGTAACTATGTTAGCACTCGAGAGTCTTACATTTTTCTAAGCTAAGTTATTTTGTCCAATAACTCACACATCTTGAAAAAAATATTGAATAAGTAAATTACACTCTTTGGTACTTATATAGTTATTATTATTGAAAATGCAATAAAAAATCATTTTGACATGTCAAACTGTAATGTTGACTTAGCTACGCCCACCCTTTGAATAAAACACACATCGAAATAGGCCAGAACTATGTTGGCACTCAAACCAAAAACTCTGGGACGAAATCATTGCTGTATGAAGTGTTTCTGTAGTGAAAAGTTCTAGCAGTATTATCAGGACACCTCTCTTGTGACACTGATAGTATGATCTCCGTTGCTTCTGATATTTTACTGATAATAGTATGGCAAACTGTATCAAATCTCAATTTTCCAGTTTTGTTTTAAATGGTAGTAGTAAATTGAGGATCACCAATGCACCAGGATATGGTTGGTGCGCACTAGTGATCACACACAGTATATTTTAAAATTAGGATGGGTCCTGTGGAATGAACAGCCAACAGCAGGTACACATTGATGATGGTCAGTCAGTTAATCATCAATACCAATTCTACTTGCACCAGCTTTTTCAGCATCTTTCTATTATAATCCGAGAAGGGTAATTTATTGACAATGCAGGGGTCCCAAGTTGGAAGAATCAGTTTCCGGGAGATCCGTTTTATGACATTAGAGGCGCTATATATTCTATAAGGAAAAAGTGTAGGTACCAAACGAAAGGCCACGCCTACCTCAGGCCCATCATGATGGGGGCTAAGGTGATGACATTTTTTAGAGTAGACACCTTTAGAAGCCCGGAAATGGCACTGTCAGATACTGAAAAAAATAATCGGCAACCAAATTTAATCAAACAAAAATATTTGTTTTTTTACTAAATTTGCGGGGAATATGTGAATTTCCGGGAGATTTTTGATGTTTGCGGGAGTGCAGGAAACCATACCGATTTCCAGGAGATTCTCGGGAGTTCCAGGAGACTTGGGACTCTTGATTTTGTTTATTGAAAACGTTTGGTCGCACTTTCGTCACCCACGGCTACTGGCTCAACATTGCAAGGTAGCGGATTTCACACATAATCTCACGTAGAGTAGTAAAAAGACAGGGGTGTCTAGAAAAGTAAGATATCTTACTTTTCTAGATCTACAAAAGTAAGATAAATCTTACTTTTCTAGATCTACAAAAGTAAAATTTTTAATGATGGGTTGTACCATTATATCATGAGGTATTTTGATTTTAAAGCATTAAAATAAGGTTATACCATTATCTCTGAAGTGGGGTTCATTTTTACTAAAGTTTACGAAAACCTATGTTTTTAAAGTAAAATTAAAGATATTTTATGGATAAAGTATACAAATTCAAAATATATCTATTTTTTTGTGATTTATTAATGTCACTTAAACTCATTTGCCAGTATTGAGTGAATTCAAACATTTAATGGCCTTGAAAATAAGAAAATTATTAATATCATGTTTTTTGCCCTAAGAGGGGGGGGGGGGGTTGGTAATAAATATTTTCCTGGTTATTTTTGGAGAAAATGTTTCATTAAAGCAAATAGAAATGCATGTATTCCGAGTAATTTGAGACCAAATTCAACACAATCTGATAAATACTAACAGAGTTACGGATTTCTCCTGATTTTGTGAAAATTTTACCAAAACCGTTTTTTTTTTTAAGTTAAATCAATTGTTTTTTTATGCACAAGCTATTAGAATTTTTTTTAAATATTTTTTTGTGATATATTATTGTCATTTTAGCTATCTTTTGCCACCTTTGAATAAGTGGAAACAATCAATTACTTGGAAAAATAGGGAATTATAAAAACATATTTTTTTTTGCAAAATAATTTTTTCCTGGTACTTTCTGGGGAAAATGTTTTATTACAGCGAATAGAAAAACATGATCCTTCCGAACATTTTGGCACCAAAATGAACTCTCTATCCCCAATACTAACTGAAATACAGAGGGTTTGTATTTTTTCCCAAAAATGGATACTTTTGCATAAAAGCGGCCATTTTGGACCCGGGGACCCAATTTTACGATTGCTACATGGCCAAAATGGATGACCAAAGGTATCCAGGAGCAGGAAAAAAACAGGTCTATATAAATCGCAGAGTATGTATACGTAAACTATATCTATCTGCTGGACTAATAATAGGTTCCCTTCTTTCTTGACTGAGCAAACTTGATTATTCATACAGTGTATGATTTAATTTTAGCATTTCCTAACAATTTTGTATCTCATTTGAGATCCAGCGATCATTACCCACAGTTTTTAGTATTTTGACTTTTTATTGCTGACTTAGGCCTACACCATGCACTAAACATTATCACATCTACAAATTATGGGACTATAATTTTTATTTTCAATTAACATCACACAGTTGGCCGATTGATAAAATTGAATGTTAAACTGAAATAAGTAGGAATAGGAATGTATGCAGACAACAAACTTAACCTATCTTGCTCTACAGCTTTAGTAATAGAGTGATGTAAGCTATTCATCTTAAAATTAAAAATCCTGTTCTGCATTATTTAAAAAAAACAATCAAAAAACTAATTAGTTTGAACATTAATGTTTATCTGTTGACAAAGCTTAAGGTAAAATAAAGATTGTAGGTTGTCACACAAGTAAAAACGCTAGACACCAATTTTACTGTGCTGGTTTGGGTGTGTTAATTATTTCATTTTCAAACATATTGATTTTGAAAATTAATGCATAAAGTTCTATTCCTAGGATTTTATTGTGAAACAGTCAATGATTCCCAATCAGCTATAAGCACTCAGCAAAACGTTACTGCAAGCATTTTATTTGTTTAACTAAAAGTATATGCTGCTATGAACTTTAAAAATCAATATATACAGTAGGTTCATATACAATGATAATATCACAATAAACACAACAAATGGAATTATAAGTCATTACTTTCATTTGCACTGAATTTTCCCATTCTATTTTGACATTCTATTTCCCATTCATTCACTAATTCGTATTGTGCCGCCGATTCATTGATTCTCGTGTGCAAAAAATCTATAAACTGGAGTGATTTTACTACAATACCAGTACATCGCGATGGAATACCATAAAATATATAGGCCTAGTTCAGACAAGGTGGATAAATCCAGCTCAAATCAGCATTCAATTACGTGTTCTGTGAGTAAGCGTACGTTTCGAGCGCAATGTTTCCAAACTCGATTCCTGGTTACGGTTCATCAATATGCAAATGCTCACGCCTGGCTAATCCTGCTGTCTGAACGCCTGGCAAAGTTAAGCCGGGCTTATCTCCAAGTCTGAACGTAGCCTTATTATTTTTCTTCGAAGAGATGCTTAGAGCTGTGTGAAGAGTGTCAGTGGGCGTACTAACAATTCATAATTATAATACGCGCAGCAAATGCATACGCACAGTGATCACTGAGCAACCAGCGGGATAATTTATGAATATATTATAGCATGGACGTATTATTATAATAATACCTCCATGATTATAATAACCTCTCTACAACCAGCAGTTTGATTGAAGGGCCATAGAAAAGGTGATGGGCTTCACAGCTGACCTCTAAAGCAATTATACACAATAGGAAATAGAAGCCGTAGGAGCTTTTATTTTGTTTTAAAAAAAGTGCCTTAGTTGGGAAATGATCTCTTGAAAATCGACAAAAACCTCAGCCTCACCATGTTTGCGGTTGAGGACGGTAACTCCATTTTAAGAATATGACCCGTCTAGATGCCAAAAATGGCAGTTTTATAATAATCTTAATAAAATGAATGCTTTTCCATTAATTGTGTCCAAAATTGAACTCCTAAATGTCAAACTAAGTGAACAGAAATATTTATACTCCCACACCCATAAAATTAAGTAAACCTCAACCCATCATAACGAATAGATATTTTTTGTTTATAAACTGAATCTTTTTATTACTTGAACAGATTTTCTTAATAATAAATATAATAGCATATATAATTGAAAACCATAGAAGTCAGCTAATATTTCTCAGTTCAGAAAATTCCCATTAACCTGAACTTTACAATCTGAGAGTAATGACCATGCATTCTCAGCTAAATCGATGATGGGACCCATAAAGCCGGGTCATACACTGCGTCGTACCACGTTTGTACGATAATTGGCAAACCAGACTCAGTATTGACGACGCGACGCCATCTGCTAATTGTTGATGGCAAACCGAGCCGATCGCCATTTAAAATTATCCATTTAATTGTGTTTTCCATGGAATCGTGTAGGACGATGACAGTCACGTCTTATTATCATCAGTTAGGGGAACATAACTTCATGTTTCGAGCGAACTCCAACTCTATTAACTAGCTTCTTCCACTTTTTCTGATCTCCCAATCTTCGTTAGTTCATCACGTTTTATCCACTCATTTCTCAGCTGGTCCACATAGTCTACCTTCTTTTGTTTTTCCTGGTTGTTTGGATCCTCAGATTAGAACCACTTAATAACAATTAACATCACTGATGTTTTTTATTTTCGTTTTCCCTTGTCTATGTTTTAATTATATATTTCTGTATGTAAGTTTCAAATCTTGACATTATTGGAGATGGGAGACCAGTACTTATGTATTAAATAGGTTATCCAGAATAAGAAAGATGTCAATCAATCAATGATTCAACGTGACTGGTTGAACCATTAATTAAATTCCCGTTTAAGAGAAATCAGTACAAGATTTTTAATTAAATGAGCAAAGCTTGTACCTGTATTATTAAAGCTTTAATTGTTATTATTAGTATTATTTTGTATTAACGGTGTTTTAAAATAAATTTAATGTTATAATAATCAACAACAATATAGTGTTGTACTGTGCTATTATTAGTATTTTTCTATAATTTCTTTCAAAGCGTCATACAAGGTCTTTTCACGTCCCGATATAGGAACTTCACTGTCTAAACGTGTTCTTTTTACTCCTGTTTCAAGCAACTGACTAAAATGCTGCCAATTGCTGTAAATGATCTTGATATCAAATTCTGGAATTGGTGATCTCAAAAGATGGTTTAAAGAGATTGCATGTTTCAGTACAATCATCCACTGTGCAACCGCTTGCTTAGACTGTTGATTTTCGGCTTTCTTTAATTTTCTTTTTTGAGACTTACTTATTACTGTGTAAAAATCTGACGCACTTGCGTCCTGTCTTTCTGAAACAGGATACTTCTGTAACAAGAAATTTAGAGATGCCATTGGAAGGTAGAATTCTGACTGATCAGCTGCATAATCATCTTTGTTGGATTCAAGAAATTGAAAAAACAATTTTTCTCGTTCGTTCTCGTTCTTGTTGCTAATATCTACTAGATTTGGAAGTTGTGCGGTGGGCTGTACCACCACTTCATTTAATGAATCAGAATCTAGAGTGCGCCGATACTCTTTAATGGTAGACCCATCATTCACGAGAATGCCATATTGCAAACGCCGTAAACTCAAAGACACATCTTGTTCATTCACTGAGTGTCTTAGAGTTCGTTGATGATGTAAAACGACATCAACAGCATATTTGTTTATGCCACGTTCTCTGTACAATTTAATAAACCAAGAAGGAAAGCAACATCTAGATTTTAAATCACTTTCTGCTTCTGGGTTCTTGTCTTTATGGTATGCAAAGGCTGGAGATTCTTCAGGTAAGTCATAAAGTGATGATGTATACATTATTTCTTTCTTCAGATGTGCTCTTTCATCATTACTTATTCCTACTTGATTTAGTGCACTGTCAATAGCTGTGTCGACAGAATTGTGTCCTTCTAGACAACAAATGGCGTCTTTCACATTCATTGAGAGTTTCTCAGTACCTGTAAATGCTGCCACCAATGAAATACATTCTTTAGAAATTTTCGTTTTCTGACAAAACTGTTCACGATCAAAAATTTTACATTCGATACCCCTTTCGTTCGCTGTTTTCCATTCAAAGTACTTGTAATTAATGAATCCATAATTCAGTTCCATAATGTAGAAATCATTGTCTTCTGAAAGCACTGGGCATTTGCATTCATTGGCTATTTTTGCAATTTCTGAGTCTGCTTCATAGTCACACCAAACTGTGGGAATGTTGAGACCTTGCAGAACTTCTACCATTATTTGTTTCCAACAAATAATCTTGTGTCTGTACTTATCTTTGCCAGACTGTGTGTTTTTTTCATTAGCATGACCACCATCAAAGATAAAAATTGGTCTAACCTGGCAACTACGTAGCTTCTCTATGAAGTTTCTTATAACGTTACACACACTTGAACAATTCTCGCTAACGCTTGTATGATTTTCATTCCTTTCAAGTCCACACAGTAAATTGTTACCATCAATTATTAGTTCATTATCAGAAAAAAATTGACAATCTTTGTGAAGACTGTTTTCTGTTACAAACACATTAAGTCCCTGTACTCCCATAATAATACATATATTCTTGAATAATAATAATGTTTAGGGGCCTGCAAAAAAAAGAAGAAAATTATTGTTTTTTATACGCCTATAATAGTAATAATAATAATAATAATTACGATTTATAAAGCGCACATAGCCACTAGTGACCAATAATGGTTGATTGGTTGTTTGGATAGGCCTATAGATTTTTCCAAGATCCCTAAATCTTGATAATGTTCAATGACTGAAAATATTTCATTCATTTTTGTTGTCTTTGTACAAAAAGTGTCGAAAATCAGGGATTACAAAGATATAGATTAAAAACTGTCCAATGGCCCTCAAACTGATTTGAAAACATAGTAGAAACATCAAAATTGAATAAAATTACTCTTAAATATATCAAAAATGTATAAAAACTTGGATGTTTGGAATAAACTTAATTTTGGCTAAATACACCTCAGCATATATATATACTGTCTCTTATACACATCTAGATGTGTATAAGAGAATCTATCTTCTTTTAAAATTCGAAACTGTTGGTATTTCAAGAAATTTATGTTTTTGGTTTTATAGTTGTGTTAACAATACAACAATGAGTATTAATTCTAAATCTCATCTAAACTTGCTCCAGGGGTCCATCTTAGACCCTTTACTGTTTAATTTAGACGTAAATGACATCAATTCATCTCAATGTTTAATGAATGACGACTTAAAAATATATAAGATTATAAGTTTCTCTGGGATCCACCACTGGGTGTGTTATAATAAATCTTGAAAATTTGCGCTCATGAGACCAACCCAAGTAGCCTATACTGCCCTGATTTGGAAAAAGGCATTATCTGCAAAATCCTGGTTTTGAGAAAATGAGCAAAACGCGTTTGGTTTTAGCCAAAGAAAAGAACAATTGATATTCAATTCTTTCAAGTATATTTTTAAAAACTATACTAATAAAAAAATTGTCATATACTTTCTGCTGATAATGCCTTTTTCCGGATTATTTGTGCCTATAGATAGGAATTAATAATTTAACACTTAGGCATTATCTGCAATAATGTTTAAAAGTATTGATGAATTTTAAATTAGTGCATGAATATTGTAAATGTATGTCGCTGTAATTTAAAATAAAAAACAATTTTTCTTTAAAATATATTATAAATTTGATGTAAAAATAAAATTAGTATTTTGAAAATGTACTCGCATTGAAAATTATAATTTCTTTATTAAAATGTTTAACAAATGTTTTGTAAGTAAGGTATACAAAGTAAACCAATAAAGAATAAAATAGATGGAATGGGTTTTATATATCTTAAGCCTGGTGGAGCTTAAGTGGGTTAGGTTCCTGCCGGGGGAAGGGGGTTTGGGGGCGGTGTTGAGGGTGGGCTTCCGGTGGTATATGCAAGGTAAATTGAAAAGTTATCTATATTTTATGACAAGTTTTACTGTTATGTTCCTAATCTAATGCCACACCAAGCTGTTTCAATTATCTTTATAATCACTATCATCATCGTTATGGTCACTGGATAATAATGCTACTGAAATTATATTCTTAAATTCTCATGAATTTTACAGACACTAAAACATATTTAGAGCAACTCCTTTATAAAACAATTCAAATTAATTATTTCAAATATGTAAACTTAAAAACAAAGGATACATTATAATATTTTGTACAGTATCAAACTAGGTATTATACGTTTCATCATCACTGAACGATAAATACAGACATTCATATAGCGCTTTTTGCCAATGGCTACAAAGCACTTGGATATGTTGGCCGTTACGTGGCAAAACAACGTAACTTGAAATGTTCACTTTTGGAGAAAAAATAGAGTTTGCATGTTTGCAACTTGCAGTAAATTTGCGTACGGTACCCTTTTGAAATTTTGCAGAATTGTATATCTAGAGACATTGTGTTTATATACAATTTTAATTACAGCCGTTTGTTTATTGCAAAGTAGTGACATTCACAGATACGTTATTTTGCTTTAGGAACAATCAGGCTCGGTATTGTGTTAATTGTGACATATTTTTGGATTTTATCACGTTTTATCATGCATTATCTAGATTGTTCATATTTCGCTGTTATTGATTATTCATATAAAAATACTGGATAACCAAGCTTAAAACAATTTTTAAATCCCATGTATTATCTAGCTTGTTTATACGTCGATCGCTGTTATTGATTATTCATATGAAAACACAATTAACCAATTGAAGTTGCTTTGCAAAACTCCATCAGCTTAAAACAATTTTTAAATCCCATGTATTATCTAGCTTGTTCATAAGTCGCTGTTATTGATTATTCATATGAAATCACAATTACCAATTGCAAAACTCCGTCAGCTTAAAACAATTTTTAAATCCCATTCCGATGTAAAACAACGTATCTACATATACATCGTAGATACGTTGTTTTGCCCCGTAATTTTGCAGTTAAGTTGTTTAACCACAGAAATTCACTGGATTTTAAGGTTTGGGCTTAAAGTCAGGCTCCGGAGGAAAAAAAATTGTTGATATGTTGTAGAACTGATTTTTCTAAGACAGAAAAAAGTTGTTTGACGAAAAACTGGGGAACGGTGAATGAGATACAGATTTTTTAATATTTAAAAACTGGGGGAATTAGGTGTAAAAATGGGCAGTTACGCCCCTTTTCCCCCCAGTTTTTAAATATTAAAAAATCTGTATCTCATTCACCGTTCCCCAGTTTTTCGTCAAACAACTTTTTTCAGTCTCAGAAAAATCAGTTCTACAACATATCAAAAATTTTTTTTCCTCCGGAGCCTGACTTTAAAAATAGGTTGTGGTAATCCCGTAATGTCTCATTATTGAGATCTGAAATTTTCACAGGTAAATCAGAAGTGGATAATATGCTCCCAAATTATATTATCTCAAAATCGACAAAAATGTCAGTTACGTTGTTTTGCCTCTCGACAGCCGATGTGGACTAGAAACTCGATCAATAATGAAGATGACAAAAATAAAATAAAATTTACTTAAACTTACAAAGTAATATTTATATTGCTTATGGATTGTTATTATTAAGTTTTTATTAATTTAGTGAAAAACATATTTAGTAATACACATTGAATAAAGCAATTAAAAATATTTATATAAAAGTATTACATGTAAAAAAGATGCACAGAATTTTGCATTAAAATTAATATTTATAATAATTACAAGTCAAAAAGCTCCTAATAAGTAACTTGTGTTAAAGTAAAAGAAATAATCAGAATGATATGAAGTTTTGTAAAGGTTATAAGAAAAACAATGTAGATAATGCCTTCTTTCGAATTAATCCTCAGAATAAGCTGGAATAAACTAGGCATTATCTTAGAGGAGATCTAATTACTATTCATCACACTGGCACCTAATAGGATAACTGCTTCCTTCCTTGTGTGAATTCAACCGTTCTATGCTTTATTGTGGTCTTTAGTGTAGTTAATGCCTTATTCCAAATTATTTGTTGTGGTGTGTGTAGATAATACCCATTAAAAAAATAAATATCATATTTAGAGTAATATTGTTGGCTTTCTAGTAAATTAAGGTGATAGATTATACACTCAGGAGTCTTGTAAGACAAAAATCTTAATTTTGAAAAAAATGTAGTTAATGTCTTTTTCCGAATCAAGGCAGTATAGCGTGCCCTCTCAATCACGCCGAGCAAGATAATTCAAACAAATTGAGTCATGCCTGGGTTGCCCCCAGTCTTAAATAAGAGTGATAAACTACTAGTGTACTTACCTTTAATAACTTGAGTGTTGACACGTAGAAAGCGAAGGTGTATCTTTTGCTACCTGTGTGGTCAGTTAAAATTTGCGTTTCCTGAAATTGGCATTATTATGAAATGTTGATTGAAAATACAAATAGTAACTTGAAAGTGTTAATGTAATAAGATATATTGCTTATTTTAAACTTATATAAGCTGCCAAATACTAAAAAAATACTACAATAATTTGAATTGCAAGACAATAAAAAGCAAAAGTTCTCAAGTGTCAAAAGAATATACAGAGCATTGAACTTACAATTTTGTAAAATGAATCATTTTTAATAAATTTGCTATACTTTAATTTACTTTTTTTTTTAAATCTTTAAAACACTTACAAAATCCACAATTCCTCTTCTAAAAACTAGTATTGAAAGTTTGATGTAACTTTCACTAACAACTCATAAATTGGAACTAGACTGTAGTTTTACTGTATTTAAACACACCTATGCTATTCAAAGTCACCAGTGTGTGTCAGATAAATCGAAGAAACCATTGAATATATTCATGCATTGTTGTCAAGCAGGTTCCCTATTGGCTGGTGTCGGTATGGTTTTACAGAATCCTGTTTTATGCATGAGACACATTGTCAACTTTCACATTGATTTGACCTGTTGTAAATCTGGAAATTCCAAATTTCTGACAAAAGCCACTTTTGGAAATTCCAAAAACAGTGTTGATAAAATGTGAACCTGTAAATGCAATGTGATATAACTTTTGCAGGAGGGAGTGTCCAGAAAGAAGAGCATGCACCCAGAAACAACGTCGGGCGGACCATCAAGCTGACTGTTCTTTGAATTTTCCGAACCCTTGTTTTTCTCTTCACCCTCCCATGTTTGAGAGATTTTTTTATTATTAAAATTTAAAAATATTACATTCATTTTTATAAAAATTATTCTCAAAGAAACAAAATTTTAGTGGAAGAAATACCTTAAAAGAGAACTAGCAAAATGATTTTTTGTTCTAGAGGGGAATTTTGATATGCCATTAATAATAGAATCAACCTTAAAATCGTTTTTTTGGCGATTTCTTATGAAGTTATAGACCATTATATATTATTTAATCGTGACATCACTGGCGAAAAATGTAACAAAAGATCGTGCAAATAAAACCGCGTAGGTATCCGCCGCGTACGATCTTTGCGTGCATGCTGTAATCATGGCTGTAACTCATTTGTTGACAACGGCTGATGCAGTTATAGGCCTATGACCTGATATGCAAGTTACAACAACCATGGTTACAGCATGCACGCAAAGATCGTACGCGGTGGATACCCTACGCGGTGCTATATACACAATCTTTTGTTACTTTTTTCGCCAGTGACGTCATGGTAAAATTGTATATAATGGCCTATAACTTCATAAACAATTGCCAAATAACGATTTTAAGGTTGATTCTACAATTAATGGCATATCTAAAATCTTCTCTAAAAGGAAAGATCATTTTGCTAGTTCTCTTTTAAGTACAGCCTAATATATTAATGTAACTGTACAGTATTGTATTTTCGTAATTATTATTTTTTAAATATTTGGATATGTATTTTTGAATCAGTGGCACACACCCACAAGAGGGATGCATACTAAAGACATAAATATAAATTTTAAATATGACTATCGAAATGAAAGAAATCAAAACAAGAAGAATCTAATCAGCGTAGCTCAAAAAGAACATAAACAGACTATAGATTACGCATCTCTATCCTGCAACAGCCATAGCAAAAAGGATCACCCACTCGGAACGACTAGACCCCCACCAGAGAAACTAATCAACCACCTATGTGATCATAACAGGATGTTACAACCAATAATGCAGCTGTTAAATATCTCCAATAGAGTCACAAGCGTTCCAAGCATGCACTCCATCCCCGCACTGTTCCCACAAAAACGAAATCCATCATCTATACCGTGTTTAGGGGCCATCCTTCTTTTCAAGACCATCGCAAGAACACGAAACATACTCTAACCTAAAATCTCCCTAGAGCACACAGTAGAATAATGATTTTGACATTGGAAACCATCATCCGGTACCCCCAACAAACATGCACGACCAAAGTAAGTAGAATAATGATTTTGACATTGGAAACCATTATCCGGTACCCCCAACAAACAGGCACGACCAGAGTAAACCCTTCCTCTCTTCTCACCCCAAAGCATTTTGCAACAACATCCAGTGACGTAGCTAGAGGTTTTAACGCCCGGGGGAAAAAGTAGAAAATTGTGCCCCATCTCTCCCCCCCCCCCATTATAATTTACACTATTTTGAAATAAATTGATATTGGTTGTATAAACTTTAAGCGTATGTACGTCCATATCATGCACTGTAAAAATAAGCACTGTCTAAATAACATTATTTAAACCCGAATAATAATTCTAGCTCTCATATGTTCTTTACACCAGGGGTGGCGCCAAAATTTGCCCCGGGGGGGGAATCCAAGGTCCTGGGAGCCAATGCCTCAACGAGGGGGAAGATTTCCCTGACGACAGCAAAAGGGGCGTGTTCGAGCGTTGCTTAAAATATTCCAAAATTGGTCTGGGAAGGGGAGCCCCCCCCTGAAATTTTTTTTACAATTTATGAGTTTCAAAGGCTTATTTAATCGATTTTAGAGTCTAATAATAATATGTACAAAATACATACAATTTTTTTCTCCCCGACTGATTATGGTTCGTCTCCCCAACAGGAGCGGGGAGCCTTCCCCCCCCACCCAATCGCACCACCCTTGTTTCTTACTAATGAACTTTGCATACAACTTTAACATTATCCTAATTTGTTAGGCTGTTTTATTTATCGCATACAGCATAGTATTCTCTAAATCTACTTTATAGTAGAGTCTTGTATTGAATTGTTGTTGAATTTTTAACATTTTTAACTCGCAACTGAATTGTGTGTGCTTTTGCATCAGCGAAGAAGTTAATAACATAATCAAAGTTAGCAATGTTGTCTGCTTCATCACGCTCAATACTAAGTAGTGCCAAAGCAGATAGTCTCGCTTTGTCCATCGTGGCTCTGAGATATGGCAGGATGAGCTTTAGTCATGTAGTCATTACAGAATAAGATAAAAAAGAAAAAAAGAAAATAGTCGAAATGGACTGAAAAGAAATCACAATCTATAAATTTGCCAAAAAAAACAACTACATTCAGATTCTTCTTATTAAGTGGAAAATATTCCTGCATGAAGACATACATCAGTTTCGTCGTGTTTTTCTGAAAAGTGCTTATTTTTTTACTCTCATTCTCCCATTTCAGCGCCCCCTAAACCTGGCGCCCAGGGCATGTGCGCCCCCCCCTTGACTCCCCTTTAGCTACGCCACTGACAATATCAATAATAACTGTAAAAGTTGTGCCATTCTCAGTGGACGATGCAGGTATTAAATACATACATGTACATTAATAATTACTCTGTACTTGAGGTATGTCTTCCACTAAAGTTTTGTTTATTTGATATTATATTTATAAAAGAAAATGTAATATTTTGAATTTTAATTTGCATTATACAAAACTCTCACAAACATAGGAGGTGACAGGACAGACGAGGGTTTGGAACATTGTACCCGGGTGCATGCCCTTTTTTCTGGGGACCCCCCCCCCCCCCCCATACAAACAGTTATATCACTTTGCATTAACAGGTTTTGTCAACACTGTTTTTGGAATTTCCAATTTGATGTGGCTTTTACCAGAAATTTGGAATTTCCAGATTTAAAAGTAAAGTCATTGTTGACCGACATCAGCCAATGGCAAACCTGCTTGAGAACAATGAATGAATATATTCGATATTTTCTTGGATTGATCTATGTGAGAAATGGAGATGTATAACCACCCCTCCCACCCCCTACTTTGATAGATGTTCCAATAGAGTGCACTTCTTAATTTCCATGCCCGACTTGCGTACGATACAAAATTTATCAAATAATGAGGTAATATCCTTAATGAAATGGAGTTTTTTTTAATACATATTATCAAAAAAATTCAGAGCTTCCTAATGATAAGAAATTAGCAAAAAAGACATTAGCAAAGCATATAGAAATAAAATCATTTTGAACTTATATTAGTTCTTCGAATTTGTTACGTTCTAAAGGCTTGTTTTCTATACACTATTTGTTTGTACGATTTCCAAGTGCTAATGTATAAGTATAGTTTTTAAATTTGAGAATTCCACCATGAACATTTGTCATATCTAACAAGTATGGTTTTGAATTCTAATTTGCATTTATTCTCTCAAACATGGAAGGGTGACAAGACAAATGAGGGTTCGGAAAATATCAAAGAAAACAGTCAGCCCGATGATCCGCACTCGTTTGGAAAAATTGTAGCTGAGTGCATGCCCTTTTTTCCATACCTACTACCAAGTCTCCCGCATTTGGCGGGAGACTCCCGCTTTTCGCCCTAACCTCCAGCTCTCCCGCCACTAGCCTAAAATCTCCAGCTTTTCTAATAATCTCAAGATTTTTTATAAAAACCCACAATTTAATACAAAAATATCCAAAAACGTGACAATTCTGTAGTTTTATAAGGCATATAAAATCTACGAAAGTTCTATCGCTTCGCGAAAATACATGCCGTTCCGATAGTAAACAATGTACTGTATTCGTGTAAAATTAACACTGGTGGCGCTGTACACATTACGTCATTTCTATTTTAAAGAAAGCTAAGGGTGCAACTTGGCATACAACCAGTTACATTCATCAAAAGAGAGCAAATGATGCTTCAGCCTCTCTTTTACACAGATCTCCTTTTCTGTTTAACTTGTTTTACCAAAAGAATTGTTTCTCAAATGTAAAACGTGTATTTGAGTATTTTGGAAAATTTTGTTGAAAAAAATAAATAAAGTTAAGAGTTTTAACACTGAAATAAAGCTATAGAATTTTATTTTTCAAAAAAATGTTTGTATATAGTATCCCATTTTTAAGATTTAATTTGAGCACTAGAGATCTGCTCAGAGTGCACCAGAGAGCATCTAGGCCTAAAAATTTCCGGGCCCCTAGGCGGGCCCTCGACCCACGCCTAAATTGTTTGGTTCCTGTGCAAATCTCCATCCACAGCCAAACTCAAACTTGGCATGTATGTTTTTCTGGACACCCGCTTCCTGCAAACAGTTACTGTATATCACCTTGCATTTTGCAAGTTTTGTCAAAACTAATTTTTTTGGAATTTCCAATTTTAATTTTTATGTGGCTTACCAGAAATTTGGAATTTTCAGATTTACAACAACAATAGTAAAATATCACCTTAACCGTTGCATAGACTTAGGCCTAGTAGTCAACGAAATTCTCACCATAGGTTGTTCTATATATTATGTAAACATCATATATCGATGTTGCGTCACATGAAAGTTGGGATTTACGGAGAAAATCAAGTTTTTAAAGGCAGATTTTGCCTACCTACCGTCGTGAATTGTTTACATCGAGAAATGACGTCACGAGGCAAATTATATGATACGACCATAATCTCTATGGATACAACGCTGCTGCCGTTGACCTTCGTTTTAAAAAGAAATGTATAAATGTACAACTAGAAATTGCAAATTGCAAGTGAAGTGCTGCGAAGTACAACTGCATAAAATGTTCTTCGAACAAAATTATTTATGCGAGTGAAAATTGAAAAACTTCACTCGGGCCATTTAAGTGCATGATAAGTGGCTAAAACAATATTTTATATTTTAGCCAATTTTGGCTAAACAAATATCCAATCGGCTAAATTTTTGTTTTTTTAGCTTTAGTCAATTGGCTAAACAAAAATGAATGTTAGAGTGAACCCAGCATTCACCCACCAAACTGTTTACTTATATCATAAACCTCTACATAAATATCTTCATAATTACAGTACAAAATATTTCAAAAAGTTACGTACACAACAAACCTTACAACAACCATATTTCCATTAATATCACTGTACACGACATCACACCTTTCCTAACTGTTAAGTGAACATAACAAAAAAGGTCTATGATGATGCATATAACTTTTACGGGTGTTTCCAGGATATTCCGACTGTGAAAGAATTCACATAGACCTCAGTTAGATGTTGGTTACTCTGTATCAAGCACTTTAATGATCATCTTAACACATTTAAAATCATAATGACAAGTGTTAAAACATAAAACAAATTAACTAATAAATCAATATATCCGATCCTTTACCCAACATTACTTTTACTAAATTAACTAAAATGACATTAAAACATTAAATCATCATGAGGAAAATACCACTTTATATATATTTATATAGAATTGTTTAAAGCCTAAAATAAAGTACAGTATTGAATATACAATACTCTACCCTGTTACTAAAGTTGCTATTCTTGTTATACACATTAGGGAAAACAAGTTTATAAATTACTCTCTATAATCTACCTAACTTGCTCTATAACTTTTGTTGCCATAGCAACAGTGGTTTCAGTGGCACAGCCCTGCATACCTTACCAATCAGTGGGAAG